GACCTGCCCACTTCCAAGCTCCATTCCTTTCCTCCTTTCTTTTATAGCTCCTGATGATAGGAAGAAGGGAAGGAAGCAAACTCACATCTAAAGGAGAATCTATTTGCATTCTCTCAGAAAATTTTCAAAGCATGATAAGCCTAGTAGAATTTCACTCCATGTAAGATTTTTGCGTCCACTTTCCTTCCTGCCATTTTTCTGTCTCTCAGCACACTAAACACCACAGATGTTGGCAACAACTCCTAAACAAGCCTTCCTGTGTGCCCAGTGAGAAATGGTCTGTTAGTCATGTGGGCCAGCTGTTTCATACACATGTGGTTAAGGGTAACTGGTTAGTGAGCAATTCTTTGAACTTTAAGGTGAGAGTGTATGATACCCACAAGCAGAAGCTTAACCATCAAAGTCAGCCAAATCATCAGATAATTTCAGAGAATTGAGGTGAACTGCCCAAGTGAGAAGTAGTTATGTAATGTTCCTTGGCCTTTTGAACATACTGTAATCCAGAGATTCTCAACCTTTAACACTGCTGACATTTTGGGCTGGGTGATTATTTTTTGTTGTGGGGCTGTCCTGTGCATTGTAGGCTATTTTTAGCAGTATTCCTGGCCTCTGCTACCGTTTGTCAGTAGCACCCCTCAGCTATGACAGTCAGAAATGTCTCAGCCTTCAGAGAACAAAATGTACTTCCTACCACTATTACCTGCACAATAAGGCACAGAAATGAAATCTCTTTCTTTGTCATTCTTTCCCTCTCTCTTTTTCTCCCTTGATAACCAGTTAAATATACACTGGTAGATAATGTTGGTTCTTTGCAGAATTCTTAGGTCACACTGTCCAATATAAAACAAATTAAGAACAAGAAGTTAAAATGAAGAGCTAATCTAGCCAAAGCATGACTGAAAGTAGAAGAAAACTAGGAACCTCATGAATTGTGGAGAGAAGAAGAATGGTGGTGTCTAGAACTACCAGATGGAGGCCACAAAGTATCTTCTGTTCTCCAGAATGTCTAGAAAGAAGGTATCCAAGGGACTGCTGCAGGTCATGCAGAGCGGCTGACCATGAGGGTAGGCCCTTAGTGACCTCAGTCTCTAGATAGCCACCAATTTCAGCCTCCAGGCAGTCTTCTGATTATGAACTTGGTTTCTTCCTTACACTTAAGAAGTTTGGGGAGCTCAAATCTCAGAGCACAGAAATCTGGAGACTGGCATCAGAGAAGAATAGCCAGTGAGTATCTAGATAGGCTGGCAGGACAGAGATACAGGGTTGGAGAATCTGGGAGGAGGTAAATGGAGAGATGCTAGCAGGCATTTAGTTGGGAGTCAGTGAAGTCTGTCAGCATGTAGAATTTCTGGGAGGGTTGGGAGAGGCAAGGCCAGCCTGGGAAGAATGGAGTTATTAGGCAAATTATAGAGCAGAGGGTCAGGCAAAGGGGAAGTTAGAGCCCTGGTTCCCAAAAATTGAGTGGAAGGTGACACAGTTGTCAGCCTACAAGTCATAACACGTATGCCTGTGTACTGTCAGTACATCTGGTTTTCAAGGTCATAGCTTCATTAGGGTAGGTAGGGCCAATTACATCTGTCTTAATACCCAACACCTAAACCAGTTCCTGCAATGTGGAGAAACTTTCAGATGTTTGTTCATGAAGGGAAGAAAACACAGCTGGGAGGTTACTGCATTTGTCCAGGTGTGAGATTCACAAATAATTAATCCTTTTTTATAGGCCAGTTACTCTATCAACGCTGTGTCTACCTACCTGTCTTCCTTTCTTAGAACAATGCAATTTCCATGTGGGATTGCTCTGTCATCTAGGAGTGTCCGAAGTTCTATTGTCCTTTGTTTTTTTAAACAGA